AGTTATTCTAACATTAAAAAGTTTTTTGCTTTTTTTTTTACTGTCAATTACCACTTTATACTAAAGTCCCATTTTAACTCCTTATTGCAAAATTTACGTATAAAGGAGACATAAACCTTAAGTGACCAAGAAACTGTGATGACCAAGAAATTGTGATCTAAGTTCTCACGTCTTCACTCTAAATTCATAACTACATATTCTAAAATAGTGGTGCCATTCTTATTTTCTAGAAAATTAAATAGTTCTCATTCTAAGATTATAGATTTTTTAAGAGCTAACAAATAACACTGTTGGTAATGAAACACTTTAACACTTTATTTGAAATAAAATTAAATGAAAATAAAGTGATAAATTTTATTTTTCCTTTAACATGCTGTATATGAAGCATTACTAAAAAAATGAATATATTTTAACTTAGAAGGAAAAAGAAAGCTGGCGATAAACTCTCTTATTAAAAAAACACATAGCAGGTTTTAAAATGCCAACATAATTTTCACATCTAGAATGGGATACTTTAAATGCTGCAATTTTCTAGAATTCTGTTTCAAGAGCTATAAAAAATGTTTAAAGTTATTTGATAAAAAAAACAAAGGATAATTTAAAAGTACCTCATCACCCATTTGTGGCACAAACGGACATCTTCGGGGAATAGTATCTGTAATCCATGTTGAAGGCAACCATTCCTCTAACGTCAAACCATTTTCAGTTAGTTCTCCCACAGCCAATCTCTAAGAAAGTTTAGAACATTGTAAAGTAATATTATCATAAAATCTATTATTTCAAATAACTATAGAAGTAGTTAAAAAAATAAAGGAGGAAGGGGACCTTTATACAAAAATATATATATTTGGCCCTCTGTATCCATGGATTCAACCAACTGTGGATTGAAAATGTTTGGGAAAAAAAATTCCACAAAGTTTCAAAATGCAAAACTTGAATTTGCTGCACATTGAGTACTACATTAAATTCACACAAATGAAATGATGTGTAGGCACTGTATTAGGTATTATAAATAATCTAGAGATGATTTAAAGTATATGGGAGGATCCCAAAATTCATATGTTGAAGCCCTAACTCCCAAAGTGACTCTACTTTGGCCTGTGAGGTGACAAAGGTTAAATGTGGTATGTGAGGACACAGTGAGAAGACAGCCATCTACCTGCCAGGAAGAGAGCCCTCACCAGAAACTAAATCCTGCCAGACATTGATTTTGGACTTTCTAGCTTGCAAAACCGTGAGAAAATAAATTTCTGTTGTTTAAGCTAAACAAACAAACAAAGCATATAAGAGGATGTGGTAGGTTACATGCAAATACTATGCCATTTTATATATAAGGGACTTGGGCATCCATGGATTTTGACATCTGTGGGGGTCCTGGAACCAGTCCTCCATGGATACTGAGGGACAACTGTATTTAAGCATTAAAAACCTTACCCTGGGGAAAAAAAACACATCAGTGTAATTCTCTCCATATCACCACATGAAAAGATAACTAGATAATAAAACCAAAAGTCCACAGACAACATTCACAACAAGGCAACAAAATATCCTCAACAAGCCTCAACATACAAGCTGTGTATTTTCCTTTCCTTTCAAAATACTATCAGTTCTATGAAGATTCCATATAACAAACCAAGTCCATACCTGAGTTTTTTAAAATCCTAGTCATAGTGTGTGAGAACTAAATAAGATATTCACATATAGGTTGAGCAGTGTCAGATACAGAAGGCTAATTATTTCCATAATCTGGACATTATAACTTCTACAAAGCCTGAGAATGTTCCTCTCCTCTTCTTAAAGTAGCCATTTCACACTCTTGGTGCACATTAAGTGTCTTAAAAAAAAAAAAAATTCAGATTTTTTTTTTAAACAAAATGTTGCCAAGCCAAGTCTCTTACTTTTTAACTCATGAATGAAAATAAAACTATGCCTCTGAGAAAGTTTTTTAACTTTGCTGGTCACCCACAAGTGGCCAAAATGGTCTTGATGCTATTATCTTAGCCTTAGGAAAAATGAATTTTTGAAACCTAGTATTTTTATAAGTAAAGAAACTTTATGCAAAAGGTTCACTGTTTATGCACTGACTTCTAAATTTTGTTCTGTTGTGTTTTTTAAAAAGAATATACTGTAGTTATCACTATGAATTAATACAAGTTCACCAAAAGAAGCAACTCTTTTGGCGTTCTCTGAATCAAACATGGTATCAGAGAACACTGCTTGTCAATCCCTGCTTTACAACATAGACCCTACGGAGGAAAAGGCAGGTAGAAGCAGGAAGGCAGATTGGCAGCTACTGTAGTATTCAATTGAGAGTTCACGGTGGCCCAAACTAATGTGCTAGTAGAAGTGGTGAAAGATAGTCAAGTGCTGAATATATTTAGAAGACAGAGACATCGGATAATCCATCAGATGATTCCCTAATGGACTGGATGTGGAATATAAAGAAAAAGAGGAATTAAGAATAACTCCAGGGTTTCTGGTATAAACAACTAAAAAACATAGTTCTTATATCACTGAGATTAAAGAGAACTAGAATGTAGCAGCTTTGAGAAGAAAGCCTGATAAGAAGTTTTGTATGCGTTAGATTTGAGAAATTAAGTAAGATGATATCCAAATGTATATTTGATTCACAGTTATCAAGTAGTCACTGTTACACACTGAGTATATCACAGTTAGATCCCACAACTCAGGAATTTACATTGTGTTTTGTTCAGAGCAGCTCTGATTTTACCAGTTTTATGTATCAAGGATGTGAGCGAAAGTGTGTTTGAAAAAGCTTTCCTTTGATAAAAAGAAAAAATAGTTGGAAAAGTTTGAAAATCATAACTGCAACCTCAGTAGGGACTATGAATTGCATTATGCAAGTATTTCTCCCCATAAGGAAAATATCTATGTTCACTAGAATAGCTAATAACTCCTATGTCAAGACAGGTAAGTTATACATTAAATGGGAATAATCATATTTATAAGTGAAAGACTTTGGCACTGTTACAAACCATTATGAGGACAAATCTTCTTCCTCAATAATTCCTGGGAAACCTAGAATTTTTGATTAAAGCATATTTCTGTCGCTTAGTACTTATAGCCATTAAGGAATTAAAATGCATTGAGTATACCTCAAAATTTCCAGCTTTGTAATTCAAGATTTTTCCTTTTAGAATTACAGATAACTGATTTCTCTTTCCTTTCCTCCCATGGGGAATGCTTCTAGGCCCAGCTCAAACCTTATTTCTGCTAGGAAGCCTTATCTGCAATCCTAAGGTGCCTCCATTTGATTTCTAAGTTATTATGTCTAAAAATAATCTCGCAATTAAATATATTACATCATGTGGCATTTCCTCTATTTTTATCTTGAGGCATTTAAGCAATCTTGTAAGTCACACATCATTTTTTTAGAATAAGTACTATGTCTTACACTTCTTTTTATCTACCATATTACTTTATAAATTGTAGCTACTTGATAAATATTTATTGACAGAGCTCCTAATGGCATAGGGACATTATGTAAGATACCACCTGAAATGACTTCACTGCATCTGTGGACAACTCTATTTTTTAAATAAGTATTTTCTGTATCTGCCTTGTTGTTTTTTGCTTACTTAAAAAAAAATACTCATAGAAAATGTTTTCATTTTTTCATGTATGCAGAAACCTAAATCACTTAATTTCTCACTTGCTAACTCTACAACTCTGTGCATAAGACAAATACTTTTTGCGTTTATTTGAGATAACTTAGAGGACTAGGGAATAAGGACAATATTTTTTTTGAGACAGGGTCTCACTCTGTCGCCCAGGCTAGAGTGCAATAGTGTCATCATGGCTCACTGAAACCTGAAACTCCTGGGCACAAGTGATTCTCCAGCTTTAGCCTCTTTAGTAGCTGGGACTACAGGCATGTGCCACCACACATAATTTTTAAGTTTTTTTGTAGAGATGGGGTCTTACTATATTGCCCAGGCTGGTCTCGAACTCCTGGCCTCAAGCGATCCTCCCACCTCAGCCTCCCAAAATGCTAGGATTAAAGGCATGAGTCACCATACTCAGCCAAGAACAATTATATCTATTGTTAGATCCACTGGTAGACATTGAACAAAATTCAAATTAAAGGAAATAATCTACAGTATCCTAACCTTATTATATTTAAAAAATGTCCCACATTAATCTATTGAATGATCCTGTCACACTACTTTGTCAATAGCAAAACAGTGAAACTAAAACATGCCTAATGGTAACAATGAATCCATATGTAGTACTTCATGAAGGAACCTATGGTATTAGTTTGTTTACAACTATCAAATCAAGGGGACCAAATGAAGCAAACTGAACTGCTGGGACAAAAGATTTACATTCTCACAGTGACTTATCACTGCAAACCTCAAAAGTTTATCAAACTGTCTTAAGATAAAAAAGAATATTTACCTTTTCAGTCAGATACATGGCTAAATCAGTTTTCTTTAACCAATCTGTCTACCACATAAAATAATGGGTCACACTACATTATTCATCACTGAAAAGGCAGAAAAAAAAAACCGTGGGCAAATGTGTGGCATTCTGTTTGGGCTTCCCCAGACAAAAACAAAGGAGGCAACAAGAATAGTAGTAGCTGTGGAATCTAAATTAAAGTAAATCATAATTATAAAGCTGAAACAAACAAGAACTCAATGTAAATAAAATAAACACTTAAGACAGATGTATTCTTATACTTTCTGAAAGCTCTCTAGGGATAAAGACCCTACAGTCTCCTAATATTTAAATTCAATTAATTTTAAAAATGGCAGAGGTTAAAAAATTTTTTTTCCTTTTGTTTAACCAAATACGCTTCCCATTTACACTCTTTTGGGAAGCAAAAAACATGTCCCTCATATTGTATTTACTTCAGAACAAAAATTAAACAGCTCTCATTTTCATTCCTAGGTTAAAGTATTTCAACTCCATAAGAGCTGACAGACCATCTTTCCATAACATTTATTTCTTACTTTCTCTGTTCTCTCTCAAATTATCCACAAATTTAACATGAAGTAATTAAACCAATACTACTACTGACCTAAAGAATGAAAAACTATGGCTCACACACTCTGTAAATTAATGAAGTCATCTTACAACAAACCCATTTTATCCCACTTTAGATTCACCTTTCCCTTGTGGTCTAATATGACAAGTTTTGTCATTCTTATTCCATGTGATGTTGCCACTAGACTTTCTGTTTATTCTCAGTAATAATAATCAGTAAAGATGGTTTTAAATGTAAAGGCAATTAACAGACTAATAAACTATGTGTTTTGTAACATCATGTGTTTTACATAAATAAATAAACAGATAAATCTCACTGGACTATTAAGAAAAATCTGATCATGTTTTAAGATTAAGTGCTCAACATTGGGAATATTATAATTCTATAAGTAAATAATCTGACATCCCAAACATTTAAAAACTTGAATAAATGAAATGTACTCTGGTATACTTTAGTTCACTACTGTGTACTTCTGAATATACTTCAACAATACTATGCTCAATTGTACTTTAAAAATGTGTGCTTTCAGTCGTCTTCATAGAAAACATTAAATTTATAATTTGAAAACCCAAACCTTTTGTTTTCTTTCTTTGGGCTTCTTTTTCTTTGGTGATGTCGGTCCATCTTTTTCTTCATTTACTTTTTTCCTTTCCTTTTTAATCTGTTTTTGCTTCTGTTTTTCAGATTCTTCTTCTTCATCCGAACTGCTTTCTGCTTTCTTGCTTTTATTCTTAGGAACTTTCTTTGGTGGCTGCAGATTAATTCCTGCATCTGCTGTCCAGTCAGAGTAATCACTGGAGTAGTCACTAGAAGGAGAAAAGGGATTTTAAAAATACACACAAGATGCAATTTTAAGACTTTTATAAAAATGAAAAGGTCATAAAGAATGACGGAACATTACATACTTAATGAACTAAAAAATACTTCCCTAATTTTCAACTCATCTTCAAAAGTTTCTTAAAATTCTGTAGGCTTTACTTTAAAATCTCAAAAAAAATAAAATAAAATAAATAAGGTCACAGCTTTAAGTGAAAAAAATAAATTTTAAGTACCTTCTATGATTTTAAGAAAAATATTGATTTCAGAGTATTGCATGTTACAAATATTGTGGGGCATAAAGGAACACGGGGGTTACCTTCCTCAGTTTTAGAGACAATAGAAAGCAAGCCCTGGAGAGCACAGAAGGTGTCAACATTGAGGCGACATGGGGATTCCTTTTTTTGAGGAAAAGGGGGCCTTCTTGACAGGGTAAATGCCTATGGTACAGCATTGGTGTTCTCATGGTAGCTAGATATTGAACTGGGAGCTTCAGAAGCATTCCCGCTCAGCAGAAAAGTTGTGCTTACAAACTTTATATAGCATATAAAGGAAAGAAATTTCATTCAGATGAAATTATTCTACCCACTTATACCTTAGGTACATCTTAGGTTTCAAAACAGGCCATGATACAGAAAAACATACCAACCATCTTTGCTGTTTCTTTTCAATTCACCTTCATAGACATACATTTTACTGAACTGATCATGTCGCAAAATAAAGAATCTAGTTATGTCATTTTGTTTTAATTTTAGTACATAAGAATATTTACTTATTTTGTCATTTTATAAATATGAGTACCTTAAAGGGATGTAAGTTATACTATATTAATATCTACAATTAGCTTCCCTAGATCTAATGATACATGACCTCATACCTCTAAAACTATTACTGATAACACTAACACTGAAAGGGCAGATTTTTCTGGAGGTTTATCATTACCCCTGCCTGGACAGTCCAAATGTTCTTTACAGACATTTATCTAACTCTCTCCAGGAATAATCATCACAGATAAGAATCAAAGTCTTTTCTTGTATGAGACTTCAGTATGAAATTTAAAATGATTTTAAAGGACTTAATATAAAAAATGTTTTCAGATACTCTATTTATTCTAAAATAGGTTGTCCTGAACCATGAACATTTTGTTTACACTAACCCTAGCCCATGGCCACTGTAAGCAGCACCTGCCAAATCTCACAGTCACTATTCTCTGAAGTACTTGGCTCTTAAAGAAGATACTCTACTGCCAGCATAAACATACCTATAAATTCCCAAGCCCAATGTTCTTTACAACTATCTACAACTGCTAAAGCCACCATTGTTCTTTCAATACAAGAACCCCTATGTTGTTTCACGGTTTGAAATACTCTATTTCATTGCTGAACTAAAAGAAAGTAAATTTTTCCTTCACTGATCTGTTTTTAAACACAGAAAACTACTAGACATAACCACAGGCACTTGCAAATCATTACCAGGAATTACTATTGTGGAAACAGGAAAGCCCTTGATTCTAGAACTGACACAAGGAATTCCTATAGCCACCACTTCGTACTTTTTTTTGGCATGTCTATTTTAAGAGCCACTGAGGTGGGGGGTAAGAGTAAAGGGCTTAACATAATTATTATCCTCAAAGGCTATACTCTTTCTTGCTACTAAGATCTTACAAGGTCAGCCAAGGCCACCAGCTCTATAACAATGTGAATCACCAATATAAGGAGTTGAAGGAATCCTCACTTGCATGGTCAAATGGAGTGGGGATAATAAGAAAAAGAAAAGCTTATTCCTACTGCTAGAAGAAAATATTAGCATTCCATAAATTCCATTATGAGATAGTTAATCTATAAGATCTGATTACCTTCATAATTTCATGCTTAAATATTTCTCTAAACCAGTAATAAAACTAGTTCATGATTGACTATTATAAATGACAGCATTCAAAAGATATAATACCAAGTAAAAAAATAAACAGTATCATTTTGCAGATCTAGTTGCAATTACCAAAAAATTTTTTCTATAGAGAAAACATATCAGTAAGAAAATCTCCTAAATTTTAGACAACTACAAAGAATCTTTGAAGAAGAATCAACTTTAAACCCAAAGAAACTTTGAAATAAGTTGCTGATAAAAAAAGAATTTTCAGCTTTCAAAAGATTTTACCTAACATTTGGAGAAAAAAATTCATTCGCTTACCTAGAGCTGCCATCACTGTGCCACGCTCTCTCTTCTTCTTCTTCAGAAGTTCCACCACTGACAGCAACCACTTCACCTTCCTAAGACACATTGAATACATATTTTATTGCATAACTTTATAAAACATTCTCTAAGCATAGAAAATATCAATGATATCTTATAAAGCCAGTCATGTTGGGATATTTATATCACATCAGATTTAAATTAGTTGTAAAACACATTTTATATAAAAAATGAAAATACTTAAATGTATATAGCGATATATTACTATTTAATACTGGATTCAGAACAAACAGATGATTTATAGTTTTTAAAGCCTCGTAACATATCTTCTAGGTTGAATGATATCAAATTCCACATTATCGCTTGAAATTAATTGTTACTTCTTAGGCCTTTTGAAAAAATTAAGTTTTCCTTTCTGTAGCTGCTTTGAGAAGCTTTAAATTAGGTACATTTATGTTTTAATTATTATTATTAAAATAGCTCTACCATACAAAAAAGGTCTGGTCTTATTTTATCCAAATGGTAGAGAATTAAAAAATACACAAATACTGCTTAACTAAATATTCATGAGTCAACATAGAATGATATTTGTGAAGGCATTTTCTTCATAAAAGTTGGGTTTTGGTCACAAAATCTTACACATCTTCCTTGCTCAAATAAACTTTATGCTCCAATTAAAATAGCCCCTCACATTTATTAAGCTTTTACTGTAAGTCAGAAACTATTCTAAGCACTTTGTATATACTATCCCATTTGGTATCAACAAAAAACTATCAACGATAGGGAAAAGTTATTTAAATAAAAGAAACTAAAGCTTTAAGAAATTTGCCCAGGCCGGGCGCGGTGGCTCACGCCTGTAATCCTAGC